GCGGGCGCCTGGGGATGGGGCGGTGCCGGGTCCCGGGCTTGGCCTCCTTCTGAGTCCAGAAAAGGGAACAGGGCTGGTGTCCCCAGACCCAGAGCCCGGTGACCTTGAACCAGTCACTCAACCTCGACCTGGAGGCCTCCCCACACTGCAGCCTTGGCCCAGCTCCACCCTCCCGCTGCCCCGGGGCCGATGTGGGTGGGTCAGGGTACCAGGCTGGGCCCAGCCTCAGGCACCGGCCCTGCCCGCCACACCCACCTCAGATGCCGGGTGTTGGTCACACCCCAGTGGACCCAAAGGACCCCTTCTCAGGACCCCCCAGCGCCCAGCAGTGTGGCCCCAGGGCCGGGCCTGCTGCAGGCGGATGGGCACCGGGCAGGGCCACCTCGGAGCTTCGCCTCAGGTCTGGTGGACACTTCCCTCTGCAGACAGAAAGCTGAGGCACAGGGACCCTACCCGGGTGGAATGTTCCAGAGCCCTCTGACCCCGGAGGTCACGGGAGGGACGGGCAGAGGGTCACAGGCAGGGAGCCGCATCATTGCTGCCAAGCACCTTGCAGAAAAGCGGGGTGCCTGTTTGTGCCACAGCTGCGCCCACACATGGACCCCGAGCTGGTTGCTGTGGTCAGACCTCGGAAATGCTCCCCGACATAGCGATGACCGCTCCCCGTCCCCCTCCAGGCGGCACCCCTTCCTGGGGGCGCGGGTGCCAGCCCTCCTCACGCCCTTCTCTCTCCACAGACGGGTCCTGTGACACGGCCTCGGCCACCACTCCCAGAGGGGACCGGCCTGAGCAGTGTGCCCTGACCCCTGGGCCCAGCCCCCTGGACCTCACCTTCCTGCTCAGCAAGCGCCACCCTGGAGCCCCGGATTGTGATGGGGGAGGAGACGTGCCAGGCACCCCCACTACCCTGGGCAGCCCCACCACAGCTCAGGGACCCGGAGGGGGGGCCTGCCAGCCTGCACTCCCCCGCATCGTGTTCTCGGGGTGACCCTCCTGTGCCTTTTTCTGCCCCAGACCCCGATTCCTATTTCACGCCTCCGTCCACTCCCAGCGAGACCCCTGCCTTGCTCCCCAGCTCCGGGCCCTGCAGGGACGCCCAAGCTGAGGCCAGGCCCGTGGGGGACTCACCGCCCACCTCACCCTCGGGCTCCTACGTCACCGCGGACACAGAAAGCTGGGCCTCGTCCCCGTCCCCTTCCTGCTCTCTGAGCCTGGCTCCCGAGGAAGGGCTAGGGGTGCCCTCGGGCCGCGGCTTCTCCCCACCCGGTTCTGAGACCCTGGAGCAGGACTGGCCCCCCGCAGGGTCCCCGGGGTCCTCGTCCCCTGAGTCCAGCCTCTCCACGGACAGCAGCTCCTCCTGGGACCAGGAGGGCCACTTCTTCGACCTGGATGTCCTGGCCCAGGACCCAATGATCCCGGCCGCCCTCCTGCCGTTCCGGGGCAGCCTGCTCTTCCAGGTGGAGGCGGTGGAGGTGACGCCCCTGTCCCCCGAGGAGCAGCAGGAGCAGGAGCCAGAGGCTCCGGCCGCCGACGGGGACGGGGCCAGCGAGGACAAGGACAACAGCACCTTCGCCTCCTCCCTGCAGTCACTGTCCGACCTGTCGGTCACCGAGGGCGTGGACGAGGCCTTCGCCTTCTGGGACGACACCTCTGCCGCCTCCTCGGACCCCGACTCGGCCTCCTACCCTGGAGCAGATGACGAGAGACTGTACAGCGGGGAGCCCCACGCGCAGCCCACCGCCGCCCTGCAGGACGGCCCCGTGGTCTCCGAGGGAGACGTGGGCACATTAG